GAAGAAACAGGCTGGGCGTGGTGGCTCATGCCTATAATCCCAGCACTTTAGGAGGCCAAGGCAGGTGGATCATTTGAGGTCAGGAGTTCAAGACCAGCCTGGCCAACATGGCAAAATCCCATCTCTACTAAAAATACAACAATTAGCTGGGCATGGTGGGGGATGCTGAAATCTCAGCTACTCGAGAGGCTGAGGCAGGAGAAATGCTTGAATCCAGGAGTTGGAGGTTGCAGTGAGCCGAGATTGTGCCACGGCTCCATCTCAAAAGAAAAGAAAAGAAAAGAAAGGAACTGAAGAAACAAGGTGAGCCTAGGAGATCGTGGATTCGTGGTGTGCTAGTGAATGTCAAACAATCAATGTTCCAGGGCGAAAAATTCCTAATAGTGTGTGCCAATTTCTGTGGTGTAAATTCTCCCTCCATGCTGACTTCTAGTTTCGGGTGTGACATCTCTGAGGACAGAGTAGGAAAAAGATGTGTGTAATGTGCCTCATAAGTCAGCAGAGGCCGCATCCAGACACGACTGGAGCAAATCAACTCTTTATGGAATCTTTCTCCCGACAAGCATCTGTTTTTGGAACAGTTGCCTACAGGACTCTCTGTTTTCAAAGCAAAAGAGACTCATCTAAGTGGGCATCCACTATGCGGAGGGCCTAAAGCAGATGTTTAAAATACACAGACTCATTTGATGCCCCCAAGAACATACCATTTTATAGACGAGAAAACTGAGTCTCAGAGAGGCTAAGTAACTTGCTCAGGGTCATACAGTTAGTTCAGGGCTGGGGCCAGCATGGGAATCTGAGTCTCGGAGAGGGTGCTCAGGGTTGCGAGGCTTGTTCAGGGCTGGGTCCAGCCTGTAAATCCTTTATCTTTTTACTCCCACTCCTAATTCCTTCAGTAAAACCTTCATCCCAGCTTAATGAAACTTTAATTCTAAAAGCAGATGCTCTAAGAGCTGGGACTGCTGGCGAGACCAGAGGAGAATGCACACAGGCCTGGGAGCTGGAGTGCCCACTGCCCCGTGTCTGCAGGCACCCTCGTTCCTGACCATGGTGAAGCTGTCCCTTCTCACTGGACAGTGGTTGTCAACTTTGTCATAAAATCACCGGGATGGGTGGCTCCAGTACTGTGAGGGGGAATTTATCTCAATTGTTTCCCCTAATTTTATCTACTTTTCATTTTCTGCACAGTCTGTCTTTAGAATCCACAGTGGGCCAGTCAACTCCCCCAAGACTGTGGCCAAGTCACTTTCCTCTTTTGGTGTCATTTCGCCTTTCTATAAGTAGTGAAGGGGTCAGCTGGAGGCCTCCCTGTGTCCACCCCAGATTCGTGCCGGCCTGATGAGGCTTTGTGTACAGCAACAGGAGAGGGGGTGCCAGTGCGTATTGAGGAATTACGTGTCCTGGGTGTGTTACATGTATTCTCCACTTGACCTCCACAACTCTCTGGAGTATGCGTCATTACACTGAGGCCTTTTGTCTAACTGGGGAAACCAAGGCCAGAGCATTCACGTATCTTGTTGGAGTTTGCCCAGCTGGAAAGTGCTGGAGGCGGGAGTGGAATCCAGGGGTCTGGCTCTAGAACCTGGCTCCCAGCTACCGTGCCCTTAGACCTGAGGAAAGGGATGGAGGGCAGCCTAAAGCAGAGCTATCCTTTTTTCTGGCAAGGTTATGGTACTTTCTTGTGTGCTAGAGGGTTATGCATGTCATAGTTATTCAGCAGGTGGATTGATAGGTTTGTGGATAGAGCAGTGTGATGAGAGGTGGGTCCAGACACTCTGGTGCTTAGAACTTGCATTCAGAGGATGCATATTTTGAACCGATTGTCCATGTGGCTTGGAAGGCATGTAGGGGAGAGAGGGAAGGAGTGGGGGGTGGTGGCACATCTGCAAGCGGGAACAGGGAACACGTTCAGCTCCCAGGGTTAGTGTGAGAATTAAATGAAACTGGCTGCACTGACTACACTTGGTCCCCTCTCTTGTCGCTCCCTGGCTCTATTTCCTTTGCGGCACATACCACAATTTGTCCTTATGCATTTGTTTCTCTAAATGCTTATTGCTCCCAGGGCAACTTTCTTAGGATAGGGTTCTATTAATTCCTCAATGAAAAGCCATGATCTAGCAGGTGCCTGTCACATAATGCAAGCTCAGTTAGTTAGAATGAATGACTGAAGATATTGTATATAAACTACCTGGCACAGTACAGACAAGAGGTGGTCCGCTTCCAGGGAAACCCGGACCGTCTGAGGTAGTTATTTTGCCCCTAAGCACAAGCCAGCAACAATTCTCACTTTCACCAACCCCCTCTACACACATATACACACCAAGTCCTCCAACCCTGGTTCCAGTCTGCCTGGTGCTAAGGAGGGAAGCATGACTTTGCAAAGCTGTTTGACAGCAAAAGAGAACCACTGAGCCCCCGACCCCTAAAATTGCTGTCTTAGCTAGAGTTACCATAATCAAATTGGCTCCTCCCTTAGCGGTTCTCAGATAGGAGGAAGTGGTTTGAACAGGGTGTACTTATTTCCTTCGGAACTTGTAGGGAGATTGAGAGAGGGCGGAAGTTGATCACGTGGTGTGACCTCAAGGGATATTTTATTGCAGGAAGAGAGGGATAGATGGGAGGATGGATAGACAGATAGATGGGCAGATAAATGTACGAACAGGACCCTTGGCTGCTAACAAGAACCAAATGGTTTGGTCTAAAATATGCTGGAAATTTTGATGGGAATTTTAAGTCTCAGCCTCTCTCAGAGCTGGGAGAAATACATTCTTGATGAATGTCAAATAAAAACTGAAAACCCAGCAGCATCTATTAATTCAGGGCACTGATTTAGGCGCACTAGAATGAATAATTTCTGTCTTTATGAAGGCTCATTTCCCTTGGAAATACATTGCCAGATTTCACCATTCAGAATGGGGAAGTTTTCTTCCGAAAGTGACTTAGGAAAGTTTTATTCAGAAAGTGACTTTAGTTTGCTGCAATGCAAACCTACCCGTCTGTTTCGTTTATATTAGATGGAGGAACAAGCAGAAATACATATTCAGAAAAATGGAGGAGTGCCCCACTCATTGCTTTAGCAGTTTAATCCATCATATGTAGCACTGCTTGTTAATAGCTTTCTGCCTAGGAAATATAAAATGGATATGATATATTTTAATTGTCTGATTTAGAAATGATAGCAATAGCTCCTATGTAGTACCTACTATCTCCTAGATAGTACATGTAAACTTCTTTCAAACATATAAAGAAACTGGTCTTCTTTTTACAAGGAAAATACTAACACTCAAAGGGGCAAAGTGACTTGCACAGAGTCACAGAGTTCTTTGCTGGCCCCAGAATGTTGACTCAGGTGCGGCTGATTGCAGCACAGTCTTTCTATGTTGCCATCTTGCTGCTCTGATCTAGATTCTAGATCTGTTTAAGGTGAAGGAATCTAATTAGATTTCAATTTGTCTATTCCATAGGTTTTTAACATTCTTATTATATTTTCAGAGCATATTAAGCACTCTTAAATAGAATTCTTCTTCTTCTTCTTCTTTTTTTTTTTTTTTTGATAAAGTTTCACTCTTGTTGCCCAGGCTGGAGTGCAGTGGCGCAATCTCAGCTCACTGCAACCTGCAACCTCCACCTCTCGGGTTCCCCGAGTAGCTGGGATTACAGGCACCTGCCACCACAGCCAGCTAATTTTTGTATTAAATAGCACTCTTCTAAATGGAGACTATTAGTTGCAACATACTTGCCAGAATTTTGACCTGAGCTTACCTCTCCAGTTTTCAAAGGGCCACAGCCCAGTTTCACAGCTCAGCATCTCATAGCAAACCACAGAACGACAATTTAAAGACAATTTAAAGACCCTCTTCCTAAAGTGAAGAGGGTACCACTTTAAACACAAGCCTCAGCCCTGCATCCGCTTGTTCTCGCTGAGGCTCCCCCAACCCTTTAGAACCCCTCACTTGCCTCTCCCTCCCACCAGCTATGGGACTTGGACAAGCACCTAACTTCTCTGAGCCTCATTTTCTCAGTTTTCAAAAAAAAATAACAACCACCATCCTATAGGATTGTTCTGAGGATTGCAGAAAAATAACTTTTTATGCATTGCTCCTCCCCAGTCACTCAGGATGGTAGATATCACCTCCTGACATCCCTATGCATAGCCGCAAGTGAGGACATTCTGAGGCCAAAGCTCAGGTCACTTCTTTGACACCAGACTCTCTCCATATGTACGCACCTAAAAGAATGTGGAGTGTGCCTTTTTCCTTAGAAAATTCCAGTTGTCCTAAATCTCTTCCAACTCTAACATGCTGTTTCCAGAATTTATATACTCCACATGTTTGCCTTTCCTTTGATTCCTCCTTTCCCCCATACACATCCCAGCTGCTCAGATTGTTATTAATTATCTTTGGCATCTTCTTAAAGAAGATGCATACAATCACACTCCAAGTAGCACTATTGCAATCCCTCAACCCACCTGGCTCCATGCACCTTTAGACATCATGACTCCAGCCTGATAGCATTTACTGAGCACCTGCTGTATGCTGAAAGTGGCCTGGGCACTTAGCATATGTCAATTTCTTCACTTTGCCCTATACCTGGGTGCATTAGGTACCATCAGTGTCACTTTACAGATGAGAAAATGAAGGCCTGGAGAGGTTTAAATGACTCCCTCAAGGTCTCACAGCTAGGAATTCTGATGGCAAATCCCAATTGTCCTTTGTAAGAAGCCTGCTAAGTGCAAGCATTTTTGGCAGAATGTTTCCTCTGGCAGCATCCTGTCCGTGCTCCTCCAGCCCTTCTCTCCACAGAATTATGCATCCAACACCCACTGAGCCACTGCAGTGTGCTGGGCACCAGGTTGGGGGCTGGGCTCCTCTCAAGACATTGCCCCACCTGTGCTCAGGGAGCTCCTCTCTGGCTCCAGAAAGTTGACCCCTGCCAACTGTGTGTTGAAGAGGTCCCGAAGTCTCTCCCCACCCCGTCTCTGCCACATTCCCCCAAAATACCTTCACACACTGTGCATGACTTCTGTGGGAGCTGTCTGCAGAGAGATTGCTGGGCGCAGAGTCACTGCCTCTCCGTCTGTCAACTGCTGCTGCTCCGGAATAAACAGGCAGCCGGGCCTCTCGCGAGTGTGGAGAAGCAGCCCATGCTACCCAGAAGAACTGCAGTTGCTAAACTGGCCGCATACTTCCTCTGCTAGGAACGAGGAAGGCACAGGGCTTGCAGAAGGGCAGGTTCCTGTTTTCAGTAACCACTCTGAGTAGGCTTCTCTCTGCGAGGACTGGGAAGATAGACGCATTATTAATTTTTTTTACAAAGCACTTGAGAATATGGCCAGCTTAACTCAAGATTCTGGGATTTCAGAAGCTTGGTCTTCTTTCTCTAATTAAAAGGCAAATTGGTGGGGCTGTGAATTTGCTCTTGTGCATCCCTGGAGCTTGCTGGGCCCACAAAGGCTGTGGCTGAGAGCTGCAGCTTCTCTGATTTCGTTTTCCCAATTTTTGCGGCTTCCTTCTGTTAATGCCGAATGGACCCCAGAGCAGTGCTTTGAGATTAAAGGAGACTAAAGAGACACAATGACTTGGTGCAATGTGTGGGTCAAGGGAAAAGAATTAGAAAGAACATTATAGGATGGTAGTTGTTTGAATATATAGTGCACAGTTGATAATATTGTCCCAGTCTTAAGTTTCTTGGACATGGTAATAATAGTGTGGTTATGTGGGAGAATGTCTAGTTCTTAGGCGACACATGATGACTAAGAGGATGTCTCGTATCATGACAGCTATAGCTTTCAAAGAGTTTCTTAAAAGAAAAGCTGCATCCCTATATCTATAGCTATCAGGTTGGCACAAAAGTTATTGTGGTTTCTGCCATAGAAGTAATGGCAAAAACCACAATCATTGTTGCACCAACCTAATACATCTACATCTATATATCAAGACACAGAAAGAGAATGAGAGAGACAGAGAGCAAACGGGAAAAAATGTTAATACTTGGTGAGTATAGGTGAAGGGGATATAGGTGTGCATTGTTCTACTCTTGCAACTTTTTGGTGAGTTTGATGCTAAAATACATGAGTCTTTATGTTATATATTACAAAACGTATGTTGTATATGTTATACGTTATGTAAATATTGCGTATAAAATCTCCCTACTTAAAGTGCGTGGGTCTCAAGAGAAACTCAGGTACATGGGGCTTCAGAGCTTATTGACGAAAGACGTAAAAGTTTCTGCAATGCTGACCCCAAGATAGACTGGGAATTGCTTGCTTGAGCTTGGAATGCCAGGTAACCACACTGGGGTGGCCCTTAGACCCCCTCACAGCCCCTCACACCTCACAGAGTGGACAGAGCATCAGAGACTTGACTGATCTGCCCACAATCACACAGCGAGTCCCAAAGAAGAGCCAGGGCCGGAATCTACGGCTGGTGACCCAGGCCCCAGTCCAGTGAGGCCGACACAGCCACCCTGGGACAGTCATTTGGAAACCTCACTCTGTGTAGTTTGCAAAGATGAATCAAAACCCTCAGAGCTGCTTCTAAATTTAGCAGGCAGGCACTCTGCACTAGAGAGATGGTTCCTTAGACAACTTGTGAAAACACCCGCTCGCGAAGAGCATGCTGGGAAGGTACAAAGGAAATATTGCAAAAGACTGAGTGGGCAGTTTGCTTAACAGGTAAGAGGGGACAGGCAGAAATATGCAGAAGTGGAGATTTTCCCCCAAATTCACACAGAGGAGTAACAGAGCTTTGGACTGATAGTCAGAGGTATGAGTTTTGTGATGACTTTTTAATAGACACTTAGCAAGCAAAAATCTAGTACAGATGAGGCTCTGAATTTATTCCCTGTCATTTCTTTTGTAAAACTTTATTGAGCAAGGCATATTCCAGGAACTGGGATTTAGCTGTAAAAAAAGATAATAATAATAAAAAAAATAAACTGCAAAAGCCCTGCCCTTCCCTGTACTTAACTTAAAGGAGACTACAGAGACACGGCAACTTGGTGCAATGTGTGGGTCACGGGAAGAGAACTAGAAAGAACGTTATGGGGTGGCAGTTATTTGAATATATACTACACAGCAGATTCTACTACGTCACATAGGAGGAGTCCTATGGGAAAGATGGAACATGTGACTATCAATTATGGTGACCCACTGAGGAAACTCAGTGGGTTGATGGGACCAAGGGGCCCAGATGTGCTACTTTGCACAGGTGGCCAGTTGTGGGGGGATGGACTCTCTCTGGAGATATCATTAGGCTGAGAACTGTAGGAGGAAAGCAAGCCAGCTCTGGGACAAGCCAGGGCATGACAGGTGTGCGCACAAGGGACTGCTGGTTTCACACAAGCTTTCAAAGTTTTCGGGAAAGACAATCAGCCCTAAAGATGTTCAAGTCAGAAGCAGAGGCAGACAAGAGAGAGGCCCATAGAGTGGGTTCCTGTTCAACGGGTCCTGTTCACAGGAGAAGCTGCAAAAGAAGGAGAAAGGCAGGATGCAGAACCCTGGAGGTCAGGGCTGCAGGCTCTTCTCTTTTTCCAGTGGGTCATTGGGTGACCGGGGGGGCTGTTGCTAACCTCCCCCGACCCCCAGCCCTGGGGTATTTATGACCTCCCTTTGGCCTCCTGGGGTAACTGAGGAAACTCGGTAGGTTTGAGAAAGTGTTCCTCCTACTGGATGCTGTGCTATCCCAAAGCCTGGGCTGTGCCAGAGCAGGGGAATGGAATGCAGGTGTCGGCCCTGGGCCCAACCAGAGAGGGCAGGGCTGAAACCCGATGCCATGCTAGACAGGTTAATCTGACCTTAGGCCTCTGTTTTCAGTAACCCTGAGGGGGTTCTCAGCCTCAGCACTTTGGACATTTTGAATCAGAGCATTCTCTGGTGTGTGTGTGTGTGTGTGTGTGGTGGAGTTGCAGGACTGGCCTGTGCATTGGAGGATATGCCACAGCATCTCTGGACTTGACCCACTAGACGCCAGGAGCACCCCGCACCCCTCCAAGTCGCGACAACCAAAAATGTCCCAGAAATTGTCAAATGTGCCCTAGGGAGCAAAAATTACTCCCAGTTGAGAACCACTGGATCATACCCATCCCAAAATAAGACACGTGTGAAGGTTGTTCTTTCTTGGGTTGTAAAGTGCTGCCCTGAGGCCAGTTGGTTTTCCTGCTTTTGTGTGGACTCAGCTTTGCAGCACGTCTGCCTGTGCTCCCTGGTACACATCTCAGAAGCCTGCTGTATAGCAAGGCTCCTTTGGGTGGCTGTGTCACCCATCCTTCCTCTCCGCCATCATGCACTTAACCCAAGAAGAGGAAATGGTTTGCGGTCTGTTCAGGAGTCCCAGGGAATTAGGGCTTGGAAGCTACAGTCTGGGCAGCCTGTGAACTGCATCTTAAAGGAGGAGCAATTTGCTGTCAAGAACTGGAGTGGGAGCATGTGAGCCATGAACTGCCTAAGGAAAATAGAGGAAGAGCAGGAGGTGGACTTCTCACCGCAGAGGCCCAGTCAAGGAGGATTGTATTGTGAGTTCGCTTCCATGTCTTCCCTGCTCCTCCACCACCCTGACCATTCCTCTCCCAGCCATTTTCCACACTGTTCCTCAGTGTTTCTTCTAATCTATGAAGAAGTCTTGATTCCAAGAATATTGTCATTTATTCAAGCATGCTTTTCATACTCCATACATTCATTCAGTTATTCATTCAACAAACGTTTGTTAGCATTCACTGTGTGCCAGACGCTATGCATGTAACTGGAACATGTGCCAGGCAAGACTGGGCCCTACCCTCAAGGAGCTCAAAGTCAAAAACTCTTTATCCCTGTTTTCCAAGCCCAGCACAAAACAGTGTTCATTACGTATTTGCTGAATTACTTAATTTTGCCAACATCTATTGTAAATTTTGTGTATGTATAACCTATATTCAGAGGACAGATAAGGAGAGAATTCTCAGTTTGTATATGATGAACGTGTCTCCATCCCTCCCTGCCCTCGGGGAGTTTCTGATCTAGCAGAGGAGACAGACACACAGATCAAAACCCCAGGGTATAAAGAAAGACGTCGGTAGGGAGGGGGCCAGGAGAGGAGACCAGGAAACCTCTAGGGCTCCTGGTTTCACACAGGAACTTCATGGCACTGAGGCATGGCGGGACCACATTAGATTCCATCCCAGCAGCTTGGTCTTCTAGGTCCATGTACTGAGCACAAGAAGCAAAGACAAAAACACGTAGCAGGTGATGCCCCCACCAAGGACGTCAAGTGTAAGCATGGGGTCAGGCCAGGCTCTGCCGCACTGGCCGAATGACACTATCAGGAGGTCAGGCTTTAGGACTCACAGAGACACCCAGTACCATCTGTGTAGGAAGCAGCTGATTTCCAGAGGACTTTGCAAATTAATTAGAATTAGCTATGAGGCCGAGACTAATGGCCATAGGCAAATAACAACAATGCCAGCCATGCATGGATTGAGAATCACTCAGTTAAGTACTAGGCTGTGGTCATCACCTTTATTGAAGTGAAATGTTCCCCTATGTAAAAACTAGCTTTACACGCTTAGCGTTGTCAGGAGCCAGTTGTTATATTTCTCCAACTGGGGGTTGATGGGTTTCCCAAGGGAAGCAATAAAAAGCCACTTCTCCAGCTTCAGGTCTCAGAGGAGTTCCAGGTTCTAGGAGGTGAAGAGCTCCTAAGGCAATTCAGCATCATGAGGCAGACGTGATGTTGAAGCCCCATGCTGGGTCAGAGTCACAGCTTGATGCAGTATGAGCAGATTTCCATTCCTACTTCATAGCTTGATTTGTTTTCCTCTTTCAACATAAATATTCAAAAGTTTGGAAGAAAGAAAAGGCAGTCTTGGGAACTAGAAAGCTTTCTATCGATGGAGAAAACCAAGTGTAAACTAGAAAAGTTCAATACCACTGATTGAATGCAAGGCATGACACTTGGTGCTATAAAACTGTTGATGGGATTCCCATATCAAACCATATGACCTTCAAGATCGCGTGCAAGATAGAAGTTCTCGAGAGTAAAATTTTGTCCCCTCTATGGCTGGATGAGTGCTGACCCACTCATACAATAATTTATTTAATAACAGTTTTTTGAACCCCTTCTATGTGTTAGGCATTGCTCTGGGTACGGAGTTAGAGTAATAAATGAGTAAAGTCATAGAAGGGAATTGAGGGCATGGGAACAGTAAGAGAAACTCTCCCCTTAGAATGGTGACATTTGAAATGAGTGCAGAGTGACTCTGATATGAAAATCAAGAGGAAAAAACACCAGGCAAAGGACATAACAG